TCTCATGTGGAGAACAGAACGAGACGAGCGTCTCTCTCCTCATCCGCTCCGGCTCCCGCGTGAAGTTTCAATCAATGTCTGAGATCCAGCGAGCCGCCATTAGCTGTTCACCTCACACACACACACCCAGTCACTCACACACACACTCACTCACTCACTCACTCCTGAAGAAGAGGAGGTGACACACACACACACACACACACACAGACTCACTCCTGAAGAAGAGGAGGTGACACACACACACACAGACTCACTCCTGAAGAAGAGGAGGTGACACACACACACACACACCCAGTCACACACACACACACACACTCACTCACTCACTCCTGAAGAAGAGGAGGTGACACACACACACACACACAGATCAATGCCAATCTCTCAGGATCATATGAACGCTCTATTTCTGATCTGCTTTTAATTGCTCTTTAACTGACGGCAGCTTCAGTAACGAATACGCGCCAGAAGCTCATTTAAGAGTGAATAAAACACGGTTCGTACAGATACTGTAAAGACTAAGTTATTTTCAAGCACTAGTTTTTTGTTTTTTTAGACTACAATCAGAGATCAAACAATATCTTCAGGATTTCTTAAACTCAAATCACAGATATAAGGTTTCCAAAATACAACGTGGAACGTATTTAATAATATTAAATACAAAGTTTATAATGGCTATTATTGTTCAATAAATAATATTTTATATTATAATGTTGGCGTACTTATCGAGAAACGGTCTGGGGGTTTATCACACGAGCTAATTTTGCCTGAAAAGATTCTATTTGAGTTTAAAAAATAATAATCATATATTGTATTTAAATAATTCAAGGACCTCTGTGTAAATATGGGTGTTTTCAAGGGTTTTCCAGGAATTCAATTTCAAAAAGTCAAATTCAAGTACTTTAACCACCTTGTATGAGCCCTGACACACACACACACACACACACACACACTAAACTTATTGTTGAAAGATATAAATGTGTATTGATGTTCTTTTTTGAGAAGCTCTGAAGTTTTGGTTGATAATGATATTTGCCGACACACACTCCTCACTGCTGCTGGTTTTGTCTCGTCAGCAGCGTCGGGCCGTTAGAGACACATCCCAGCATGCTTTGCGTTTTCATTACAGCTCTGAGAGATGAAGCTCAACTCGACGGTAATTATAATCACACACGTTTGTGTTAAGATGCGCTCAGAATAACTCACGTCTCTGAATCGACACAGCGTCTGTGTCTTAGACCAGTGTTCCCACACCTCTGACCCCGACAGCACCTTTCAGAGGTGACCTTTGACCCCGACGTGACCTTGCCATCCACCGGCCTTCCTTCTTCAGAGCAGATTCTGTTCAAAATCCCGATCGTGCTCTTCCTCAGAGTTTCTGTCTCGTTTTCCAGCACTAATATCTAAACGTTCTGAAATCAAGACACAGTTACTGGAGAAGCAAAACGATTAATTTCATCACGTTCTTCTATAGTTTTCATAATTCCTCATCAATCTCAGTCTCTCGGTGCACAGCATAAACTTGTTTTCTGACAAAAGTGTGATGAAAGGCGTCAGAAACGCTGGATATTTTTAGACGTGTCGTGCGCGCGCTCTGATTGGACGCAGACGGGGACAGGAAGTGATGTCTGATTATGAGGTCAGACAATTAATCTCAAACTGCATCTGAAACAACTTCAAAACAACCATTATCAGATCACTGCAGAAATTATGCTCTTCCTCAGTGCTTCTGTCTTGTTTAGCAGCACAAATATAAAAAATACATGAAGTTAAATTACCTCATTATGCTTTCTCAAACATTATATTTCATGCCGTGTGTAATAGAGCCGTGTGTGAATGTAAAGTTGCTCGATAAATAGAGTTATTGTCTCCTAAAAGAAAGAAGAAACTGCTGAAACGAGTCAGTAATTCCAGTCTGACATGTAACTAATTAGCATAATCTCCACCGCTGGTCCTGATTGGCTGAGCAGCGTCTCTTAGCCCCGCCCTCAAACACTGTAGTGTATCTGAGGCTGGGAGAGTTCGGCTCGTGTCGAGGAGACGCTGTTTTCTGAGATTGATACGGTGAAACCCACGCCATCGTTACTGTTCGTATCACTGTGATCAAGAGCTGAGAGTCAGATATGATAATGAGCGTTTGCTCTCTGACCAATCACAGCAGAGCAGCTCTCAGAGAGGCGGAGCTTAGAGAGGCTGAATCTCCGAACGAAGCGTTTCAGACACTGAGAGGAAGAGCTGAAGCTGCAGTGGAGATTATGAGGAAAGTGTTGTTTGACCTTTGTCCAGTTGTAGGAGAATCTGAAACTAAAGTAGAAAGTTTTAAAATAGCATTATCGCAGCACTTTAAATCAAACGTAAATCAGGCTTAATTTTCTTACCTTATTGGTGGATATTTGCTCTTGTTTTAAGCACAAACTCACTTCATTTTGATCAATATTTAAGGGAAACCGAGTCATTTTGCTTCTTCTCCAGTAAATGTGTCTTGATTTAAGAGTGTTTAGATATTTTTGCTGGAAAGCGAGACAGAAACACCGCTCATATTTGCTTCATCTGAGGCCGTACGGCAACGGTCAGGGTCGATCTCTCCTCGTCTCAATATGTTCAGAGACCAACATGAGTCCAGATTCATGCAGGACTCAAGGTGATGATGAGGACGGCCAATAATAGCAGCCACACACACACACACACACACACACACACACACACACACACACACACACACACACACACACCGCTCAAGATATGCATATCTGTGCCTTCATTAGGTGTGTTTGTCTGTCAGATCTGAGCGAGAATAAACTCACAGTGTAATAATAACCAGAGTTAACAAAGAAAAAAGAAAGAAAAGTTGATTAATTCCAGCGCCTGAAGCGGCGACTCGTCAGACGTCTAGTTTCTACACTCTCGCTGGTTTATTTTTGTTATAATCGGTGTTAAGTGTCAAGCAGGCGTACAGAGACACACGTGTGTGTGAGTCAAAGATAAACCAGCAGATCTGAGTCGACTGATAAACACACTTCACATCTCTATACTGCAGAAAACAACATCGATATCAACAGATGCAGATGAGCAGTGGATTTTGATTGGATCGTTGTGGTTTGCTATTTGATTGACAGGTGCTGGACAGGAGGGGTTATTGATATTATTATAAAATATGTGGGGTTTAAACGACACTGAATATTCAGTAATATTATCTATCAAAACTAGAACTGAGCTGCTTTAAAGCTGAATCGATTTCTCTTGCAACATTTACAGTCATTGAATTGATCTGCATAATGTCTCTATTGACATTTTAGAGCATTTGAATTTGTCTCATATTTGATGACGTTTGCATCATTGATTCTGTGTATTACTGCGCTATAAGCGTGTAGAAATAAAGCCGAGCTGGTGTTGTTACGAGGAGGAGAGAAAGCTTGTGTTGTACACTTGCATCCGCGCGTTTAGCCGACGCTTTCATCCAGAGCAAGGGAACAAAAGCAGCGAGAGAGACAATAATACTCCTAATAATATACAATGGCAACTTTAGATTAGGAGTGTGTGTGACTAGTTTTTGATTAAAGATTACCAGGGTGCATGAATGTAAAAAACATAATGATGTGCATGGGCAGATCATTAATAACAAACACAGAAATATTCACAAATTAAAATAAAATAAAATGGTTTCATGGTGACTTTAGCAGGGCTGTAGAGCATGTGATGACCGAGTGGGAATAATGATGATTATCAGAGAGGTTATTAAAGCACTGGTACGCAATATCAACGACTAGCTTGTGATTTTTTTATGCATTTGTTTCTAACAGCTACTTAAAAAAACTTCCAATTTTATTCTCCCTAAATTTGTTCCAAACGTATACATTTCCAACACAAGGATGTTTGTATCCGAACCGTTGATGGAGCCGATTGACTTCTATAGTATAGAGAAATAAAAATACTATTGAAGTCGATGATGCCTCAGAACTGTTTGGTTACAAACATCCTTCAGAATATCACAGAATTATCATGAAAACAAGGTCATTATTGGCGACCATATTTACACTAAAGATATTAAATGACTGAGTCTAATGCGATAATGTGTTTCGTAATCAAAAACAAACCAAAAATATTAGGAAATCATCAACATGTCATACTGTCATTTAAATAAATTAATAATTTCATAAATAAATTTAACGCTCACTTACACACACACACAAAAAAAAATACACCAGTGATTCTTTAGAGCACCAAGGTATTTATGGCACTTCTACAAACATCAGTTTCTTTCCAAAATGTGTTTCCTTTCTTGATGTGTGTGTTTGTGCGGATGATGCTGTATGTTGTTCACTATCAGTACTGTGGTAAACTGCGTCAGCTCAGGAACAAACACTATGGCACTACATGATTATTACCTATCTATGGCAATTATATTATTAATTATAATAATAAACTAAAAATACCACAAAATAAAGCAAAGCAGTCCATATGGTATCACCATGGCTCGTCAACTGTATTTACACTAAACTCAGTTTCTGCCACATAAGAAAAAAATCATGCTTTGGTAAATCGTGAATATGACATAAAAAGTCGAAATTATGACATAGAAAGTTATAATTTTGTCACAGTTATGACACAAAAAATTATGACGTAGGCCTTCTACCATTAAAAGTCACTTTATATGCAAGTATGACCTTTATTTTATAATTTCAACTTGTTAATGTCATGTTATGATTTTGTAAGTCATAATTTTGACTTTTTATGTCAATTATGATTTACCAAACCTGTTTTTTGTAAAGTTTTGTAATGTATGGAAGTCCGTGTGGCAGAAATGGCTTTCCATAGATTTTCATGTCAGTCACAAAACAATCAATAAACCATTTTAACATTTTAAACTTTATTTTATATATTATATTATATTTTTTATATATATATCAATTGTTTTATCTGTTTGTATCCGTCAGCGTTCTGACTGACTTTAATCTCGCGCCAGATTAAAGCGTGAATGTGAATATAGGAACAGGATGAATCACCTGAACTGCTCCTGATCAATCCATCCGACCAGCTCGATCAGTCCAGCGGGAGTCGCAGTTCGATCGCTCCAGGGTTCCGGTTCGGTTCGGTTCTCTTCGGTTCAGTCAGCGGCGCATCGGCGATTTCACATAATTCAGATCCGAGCGCGAGTTGAGCGCGTAACCGTCACCAACCGTCATTAACCGCCACAACAGAATAAACGAGATTATTCCGATGAACGTTTCCCGCGTCTTCTGTTTGAATAAATTAGGACGTTAAAAATGAGCCGTAAAGGTCTCAAAAAAAGATAAAAATATGGAGAAAAACAGATGCTGCTCTTCCGTGAGCTTCACACACACTGAATGACTGACTGACACACACACAATGCATCTCTCTCTCTCACTGTCTCGCAGACAAACACACACACACTCCCTCTCTCACTCACACACACACACACACTCCCGCAATCACTCACTCACTCACTCACTCTCACACACACACACAGACACACACACAAACTCTCTTTTTACATTCTAATACCACAGAACTCTCATCTCAGCTGACAGAGAACGTTCTGTCAAGGTTCTCAAAGTTGTAAACAAACGTTCCTTTAGTAACAGTAAAAGAACGTTATCCGGTCTTTAATAACGTTCTCTAAACGTTAGCTCAAAAAGATAATTTATATATCTTTCATGGAACGTTTTTTTCTATATATAAAACCTTTTAGTTTGACGTTTTTTTAAATGTTGCAACTTGTTTCAGAACGTTCAGATTCAAAAGTAACGTTCCATAATGTTTGGAGAATATTACAATGGAATGTTCCCTTATAACGTTCACATAACCAAGAAAAAACGTTTTTAAAACATTTCAAAAACTGTTACATTCAGAACGTGTTCATAACTCACCGGGCTGGATGGCAGTTATTATAGTCCCAAACATGAAAACACACTATAGTACATGAATAAGGCAATCTTCATCTTGGCATTTCACAGATATAATCACTGAACCCCGATAGCAGCGCAGTATTTTCTGTAATGATGTATTATTATTATTATATAGCCGTCGTGATTGTGTTTATGATCAGCAGCGCTGGATGAATGATGTAACGCGTGCACGCGCGTGTGACGCCATCATGCGGTCGCTTCCGGTTCTGCATGTCGACGCTGTCTGGAAACTTTAATTTAAAACAATTCAACATTAAATATAAAAAATAAATGTAAAAAAAACAAAAGTAAATTACATGTTGAAAATGTAAAAAAAATATCGTTAACGAATTTTTTTATTTGAATTTCATCTAATTATTTTATTTTAATTAAAAAATATATATATTTTAAATCACCAATTCCTTATTTCATTTTCATCAAAGAAAACACAGGAAGCGCTTGCCTCTTCAACTCTCTGTATAAACAAATAAATAACTGTCTTAACACTCTTTAGTTTTATTTACAATGTTCTTTAGTTTAATGAATTTTTAAGGGAAATATTGTTCATCATGAGATTTCATATATATATATATATATATAAATCTCCCGCCATAATACAAGTACAGAAAACAAACTCCATAAATATACACCTGTGTCACTCAGTAAAATTTATTGTAGAATTGAATCACATTTTCACCAGCATTCTATTAATCCCACGTTTATACGAATGGCAACAGGTCTTCGTACAAGATTCTTACCAAAGAGAATTAAAAAGCTTCTAGATCTGATTTAAGAAAGAAGAGCGTCGCTCGTCATTAAAGTGATTGTCACCGTGGAGCTGAAGTTGAAGAACAAGACTAGAAAACCGAGAAGACCAGGTCTGGAACGAGCCGAGAGCAGTGTGTGTGTGTGTGTGATGTCACACAGAGTTCAGAGGTCACACGCAGCGAGGCATCATGGGATTGAGGAGTTCAGCACTCCTCCTTCACGTAGATCTGTTCATCCGTGTCCGAGTCCAGATGCTCCAGACGCTCCGACTGACCACTCATGATCTCATCCGGCGTCTTCATGAACCTGGCGGACACACACTCATATTTAGCATTAATATTTAAAACACACACACACACACACACACACACACACACACACACACACACACACACACACACACACACACACACACACACACACACACACACACACACACACACACACACACACACACACACACACACACACACACACACACACCTGAACAGCAGTCTCTCTCTCACACACACACACACACACACACACACACACACACACACACACACACACACACACACACACACACACACCTGAACAGCAGTCTCTCTTTCACACACACACACACACACCTGAACAGCAGTCTCTCTCTCACACATACACACACACACACACACACCCACACACACCTGAACAGCAGTCTCTCTCTCTCACACACACACACACACACCTGAACAGCAGTCTCTCTCTCACACATACACACACACACACACACACCTGAACAGCAGTCTCTGTCCCGGCTCCTTGCGGATGATGTTGAGTTTATAGTAGTGTCTCAGCGCTCGCGACATCTTCTCATACGTCATATTGGTCCTGTTCTGTAACACACACACACACACACACACACACACACACACACACACACACACACAAACCAAAATAAAATAAAATATTTAATAACACGTATTCTTATATAATATATAATCTAATTCAAAGTACTGTATATCAATGATACTGGTGTAGATATAACATTCATTACAGTCATTTCCTTGAATATTCCACTATTTTATTCATATACATAGGTTTTTTTTAAATCACCAATTTCATTTCTATTTTAATATTTTAAAAATATTCTATTTTTATATTTATTTTAATTTAAAAACATTATTAAAGTTACATTAAAATGTTTAATTCATTAATTATTAATTAATAAACAATAATGCAAAATATTTGAAAAAAATAATCACCTTGTTCCATTTTAATTTTTCATATTTAAATTAAAAACAAAAATAAAAATTAAACTTATAAAATAATTATTTTTGTATATTTAATTATATATCACAAATAAAAAAATATATATATATTTTTTTAATTAAATATAAAAAAATAAACAAAAATAAATTAAATGTTAAAACTGCAAATTGTAATACTTAATATAGTTTTTAACGTTTTATTAAACTGTTTATTTGAACTTATTCTAATTATTTTATATTAATTTATTATAATAATAATTTAATCTTATTTTAAATAATTTTCTAATAATTTTCTTATCTTATTAAATCAAATTCCTTACTTCATTTTTATTATTTTAATTTTAATATTTAATTTAATTTTAAACATTAAATAAAAAACTATTATTAAATAACACTTTTATATTTAATTAAATATTACAAATTAAACTAATTAAATATCGAATAACAAAAAATATATCAAATATTTAAAATGTAAATTTTAAAATGAAAACTTTAATATTTAATGTCTTTTTCCAGTAGAGTGTTGTCATTATTCTAACCTTATGGTTCCCCCAGAGGCGGGCCAGGCCGTTGGGGTCCATGATCCGAAAGACTTTAGTCTCGCGATCCTCCCAGCGGATGTAGTTCTCGTAGCGACTGTCCGACAGCAGCTGATAGACGTAATCCCACAGGAGCCTGCAGTCTGACACGCCCACAACACACCGCATCATCACCACATCATCACCACAACACATCACATCATCACCACATCACACTGCATCATCACCTCATCATCACCACAACACATCACATCATCACCACAACACACCGCATCATCACCACATCATCACCACAACACATCACATCATCACCACATCACACTGCATCATCACCACAACACATCGCATCATCACGACATCATCACGACCACATCACACTGCATCATCACCACATCATCACCACAACACATCGCATCATCACCACATCACCACAACACACCGCATCATCACCACAACACATCGCATCATCACCACATCACACTGCATAGACACCACATCACCACAACACCACAACACACCACATCATCACCACAATACATCGCATCATCACGACATCACCACATCACACTGCATCATCACCACATCATCACCACAACACATCGCATCATCACCACATCACCACATCACACTGCATCATCACCACATCATCACCACAACACATTTCATCATCACCACATCACACTGCATCATCACCACATCATCACCACATCACACTGCATCATCACCACATCACACTGCATCATCACCACATCATCACCACAACACATCGCATCATCACGACATCACTACATCACACTGCATCATCACCACATCATCACCACAACACATCGCATCATCACGACATCACACTGCATCATCACCACATCATCACCACAACACATCGCATCATCACGACATCACTACATCACACTGCATCATCACCACATCATCACCACAACACATCGCATCATCACGACATCACCACATCACACTGCATCATCACCACAATACATCGCATCATCACGACATCACATCACACTGCATCATCACCACAACACATCGCATCATCACCACATCACCACATCATCACCACATTACATTTCATCATCACCACATCACACTGCATCATCACCACATCATCACCACAACACATCGCATCATCACCACATCACCACATCACACTGCATCATCACCACATCATCACCACAACACATCGCATCATCACCACATCACCACATCATCACCACAACACATTTCATCATCACCACATCACACTGCATCATCACCACATCATCACCACATCACACTGCATCATCACCACATCACACTGCATCATCACCACATCATCACCACAACACATCGCATCATCACGACATCACTACATCACACTGCATCATCACCACATCATCACCACAACACATCGCATCATCACGACATCACACTGCATCATCACCACATCATCACCACAACACATCGCATCATCACGACATCACTACATCACACTGCATCATCACCACATCATCACCACAACACATCGCATCATCACGACATCACCACATCACACTGCATCATCACCACAATACATCGCATCATCACGACATCACATCACACTGCATCATCACCACAACACATCGCATCATCACCACATCACCACATCATCACCACATTACATTTCATCATCACCACATCACACTGCATCATCACCACATCATCACCACAACACATCGCATCATCACCACATCACCACATCATCACCACAACACATTTCATCATCACCACATCACACTGCATCATCACCACATCATCACCACAACACATCGCATCGTCACGACATCACCACATCACACTGCATCATCACCACATCATCACCACAACACATCGCATCGTCACGACATCACTACATCACACTGCATCATCATCACCACATCATCACCACAACACATCGCATCATCACGACATCACATCACACTGCATCATCACCACATCATCACCACATCACACTGCATCATCACCACATCATATCGCATCATCACCACATCATCACCACAACACACCGCATCATCACCACAGCACACCACTATGAGCAGAGGGGGCGGGGTCTAACCTGCGATGCGGCCCATGGGCGTGCCCTGCTCCTCGGGCGGAGACACAGGCATGATGATCTGGTTGCGATAGTGTCTCTCGTCCTGCAGGGGGAGCTGGTGAGCCGCGAGACTCAGACCGTGAGCCGCGTAGTGGACGGCGCTCTGACCTTTGACCTTTGAATTTAATATTCAACAATATTATTGATCTCCTGCATTGACACCATTATATGAGAACTGAACTGAGCTGGACGAGCGGCTGTATATATATATATACTGCAAAAAATGCTTTTCTTACTTAGCATTTTTGTCTTGTTTACAGTCCAAATCAGGGATGGAAATTAGCACCCGCCACCAGCCAAATGCGGGTGATTTTGTGTTGTGGCGGGTAAACTCGCTTCACCTACCGGCCACCGTGGCGGGTAAATAAAAATAGCATACTGTTTCACCCGGACGGCGGACACTTTTAGAGGAGGCACACCTTCAAACAAAAATGTGGCATTACATCGCAGGCGTAGAGGTCTGCAGAGAAAACATCATGGTGCGTTCACACCAGAGAGAATAGAGCGTCTGGCGTGAGTGATTTCATTGTTAAGTCAATGCAAAGACGCGTTACGCGCGTAAAAAATTCCTGCGGCGCGAATGAGGTGTAGAGCGCGGCGCGGTAGATGCGAATACGCCTCATTCGCGCGGCAAGTTCGAGCGTCTGACGCGTTACGCGCGCATGATTTTATTGAGTGCTTTTGTGCATTCACGCGTTTGATGCGAATTCGCGTCTGCCGCCCGAGTTGAAAAATCTGAACTTTGGCGTCAATTCGCGCCACGTTAACCAATCAGGAGCCTAGCTGCTGTCACGTGGTGAAGTATCTGGATGCTTCAATGAATTATTTTGTACTAAATGCCTGATGTGGTTCTAATGCACAACAAAGCAAATATTTTATCACATAAAACTTGATTTCAATATATGAGACATATTCATTTTGTATTGAATGCCATTTATTCCATTTCATATCTAGATTATATTAAATATTATTCTAATGTAAAGGCAACCAACATACTATAGCTCATAAATCCGTGTCTGGAGAGTGTTGTGTGAGAGAAAAAAAAAAATCACTGGACAGGTTATTTACTTTTGGAGGCTGGCTCAATTTATCATCAAAACAAAAATAAATGACAGATTAGGTGGATGAGGCCGAGGGTGAGAGAAAGAGAAAATGTCAGTATTTCATTGAGACTTGAGATTAAATAAACTGCTTAAGTATTCTTGTAGTATTAATTTTCACATGCAGTTACACATTGTCGGTTAAAAACAAGAAAGTGGCTGGTAAAAACATTGAGTGGCTGGTAGATTTTGAAATCCAGCAGCCACAGTGGCCGGTGGACAAAAAAGTTCATTTCCATCCCTGGTCCAAATATGTAAAAATTCTTAAATCAAGATGCATTTACCAGATTAGTGTAATGACATAAGAAATTCTGTCTTGTTTCCTGTTTAAAGGTGACTTTACCTCGCGCCCATTCTCCTGGTTGGCGCCGCGGCTGTGCCGGAAGTCCGCCGGAGCCGGGGCGCGTCCTGGGCTCAGCAGCAGCGGGTGCATGATGGCGCTGGGCATGAGCTGGATGACGCGCGGTGGCGGCTCCTCTGGGCTAGCGCTGGCGGCGCGCGGGTGGCCGTTGTGGGCCGCCGGAGACACGGACAGCGGGTACAGGTCCTCGGGCAGGTGGTGGTTGCTGTCGGGCATCTGCACGGACGCCTGCTGGGGGTCCTCGGCCGAGGAGCGCAGGGTTGGCGGGTGATGATGCGGTGAACGCGCGCGGTGACGGAGCTCAATGGTGGGCAGCTGCAGCGACTGAGCGTCTGTGGCGCGGGCCGGCCGGCGTACCGTATCTGACACACACGCACACACACACACACACACACACACAGAGAGAGAGAGAATCAGGGTTGGGGTTATTTGAACAAATTGTAAATAACAGTTTTCAACACTGATAATAATCATA